GATGTGGGCCTTTTTTCTTTCTGGATAACTTTGCTGGTTATTTTATTGAAGTCTGTTGAGTGAAGAGCCTGAAATGACGTAATCGGGTTGCACACAACCTCAGCTTCGGTGGACATGAACTCAGTGAAGTGCCTTAAACTTGGAAACGTCCCATTTTCTTTCATGTACAGAGTAGCCTGACGATTCCACCTTGCAGCTGCCCAGTTCGGTAATTTTTGAACAAGTTTTTGGTTTTCTTCACAATCGTTGAGAATGCTTAAACCTTCTATGTGTGGTATAGCTTCATAACATGTTTGAATGAAATCAGCAAATGCTCTAAATCCTATTGAGTCATTTGTTTGTATCTTTGGCCATTTTGTTAGTCTTTCTCTGTACGCTTTCTGTACAATAAAAGGATGTCCATACCTTTGATTGAGGCGTTCCCACGCATCCTGATAGGCATCACTGTCGTTTCTGTAGAAGATGCCATCAAGCGTTTGTCGAGCTGAACCTCCTACATATTTCTTTAAGTAGTGTAACTTGTCTGCAGGTGATATGTTCTTTTTATCAATGAGTGCAGTAAAAGAAGCTTTCCACTCGATGAACTCTATTGGATCGCCTGTGAACGTGGAGGGTTCAGACATTGGCAGTCTGTTTATGGCGACACTGTCCTGTAATGCTTGGGCCAAATAAAGGACATCTGTTTGTAAAAGTGAGGTGGACACAACGTTGCTGTTAGGGACCTGAATGGGAACAGAAACTATAGAAGCCTTTTGAGTTGCTCTAGCACAGTCAACATGAACGCTGCTCACGCTCTTTATCTCCTGGTCATAGGTTATTAATCTAGCTCGTGCAGCCTTTAACTCCCTTTCAGCCTTTAATCTCTCTAACTCACGTTTTTGAGATTCTAACTCCTTTCTCTGTCTTTCCTCCAAAAGTTGAATCTTTTCTCTTTGTTTTTCTTCTTCTAATAAAACTTCATACTCTGCCTCCTTGGCAGCTAACTCTGCAGCAGCTTCTGCTCTCTTTACATCTACTACTGACCTTGTAGAGTTTGAATTACTGGCAGCTGAATGTTTACTTGAGTGCGTGATGGAAGAACTATAAATGGATTGAGCATAGTCTGGATCAAGAAGTTCACGTAGACGTGCCTTCACTTTCTTACTGTCATAGTTATCTATGCCTGAGAGTCTTTCATATGCAACTCTTATAATGTCATTGGTGACTGCTTCGCATGCATCTATAAGTCGCCTTGTGTCACTACAGGGAGTAATGATTTCCCTTATTTCTGTGTATAACTTTATGACATTATCTCTTTCTCTTTCTAAGATGTCCATGAGTGAAGCAATTTGACTGTTTGTTATGTCTCCTTTCAATTGTTCTCTTGTTGTGCGTACTTGCCTTTTCCATTGATCATAAACTTTAAGAAGACGTTTTTCCTTTTTGTGAGTTTCTTCCTCCTGATACGCTCGCATTTTTTCTGTAGGCCTCCTTTGACGAACAGAACTTTGAGCATCCTCTTCATCGTTGACTTGTAGGTCTTTGATGTACTTTATTTCCTGATCAGATGCTTCCATGCTTGATACTGAGAGTGGGTCGAACAACTTCTTAGTTCAGAGTGAAGCTCTTCTCAACTTGGGTCACGCTCTTACTTCTCCCGGAGGTGAAGTTACTCCTGGAGGATCAAGCTCTTACTGTAGCGTCCCGGTCGAAAAGATGTTCTCTTTAACTGATGGTTCACTTCTCTTTATTTAACAGCCTTTATGTGTGAACACACCGTAAGAGCTACAAATGCACAAACAAAACACTATTAGCAGCTCTTAGAGGTTCTAACCTTTTCTTTTAACTCAAAAAAAAACCTACTTTATGCAACAACATTACATCTACATCACGTGTATTTAATTAACCTACATTTCTATACTACAAATTAACCAAAATGTATTTCAACTGCTTTAACAGTTTGACAGTTAATCAAACATTAACATCGTTTTATATCAAAATACAAAATGTATGTTCAATAAATACAATATTCTCGATAAAACACCCACCTTGTTCCCTCATCAACCGAGTGCTATTTAACTAATTGCTTGGACCTTAGTTGAACCACCCTTTAGTTGTCTTCACTGAACTGCGACTTGTATGTTTGCTCATTCTCTGCACTATATCTTAAACAGACAACAGTCAGATACTGTTAGATGTCCGTACAAATTGCCTAGCAACTCCGACTTCCAAAAAAGAACAAAAAAAAACAAACTCCTTTCAAATCAAAACGTCAGTCAAAAAACAAACAACTCCCAGCCAAACGAGAAAACACCAAAAGAATACAACAAAACAAACAAAAAATCCAACCACACATACACGAATCAACAAAAGCTTTACATTCACATAGTGACTTAATTGTTCTATAAAATGGTATTTTGTGCCTGAAAACACATACTGCCCCTTTAAGTCATGAACCTGACAGAGGCATGTGAGGCCTGCAGTGTTTCAGCTGTTTGTCCAGGTTCTTTTGTGGCCTCCTGGATGGGACATCAATGTGCTTTAGGAATAACTTTGGTGGAGCTGCCTTTCCTGAGAAGGTTCACCGCTGTCTCATGGTTTCTCCATTTG